TCAGATAATTATCGTTTGTATCCGGCGGTTCAGACGTTGAACTAAGGCACTGTGGCTCCGATTATCGTTGTGTGTCGGAGTGCGTGAGCAGCCCCTATTCCTGTAGCAAATAGTTTGTTCGTCAGCAAACATAGTGAATAACAACCAGTTTTTTAGTTATTAGTTCAGCAAATAAAAACTTATGCCCTGTATATTAAATCATATTCAGAACATGAATTTGATGACATTATGCAATTTTATATCACAAACAGGCACAAAAATTAGAATTGTGTCTGTTCTGTATCTCATCGCACTTTCAAATAAAATATTGCTGTTTAATACTTTACAGCGTAAATTTCCTTAATAGGATTTAAAATGCCGCCATTCGGTTTCAAGTAAATTTGTTACCGATTCATTTGCAAAAATAGCAGGCTTTCTAATCCCAGTTCCAGTTCTTATTTTCTTCAAAAGATATAAATTTTTGTTGTAATTTTGAAAAATATTTCAAAAAGTTTTCATCTTTAGCTGTACATAATGGCTACACGATATTTCTGGATAGTTTAAAGCTACACAAGATATTATAAACTCTGAAAACTGCTTTAAGTGACTCTCATAATAACATCGACTGCACATCAAAGATGTATTCTGGCATCATGTTGTTCTAAAATAGTTTTTTTTTTTGAGCAAATTACCAAGCACAATGTCGCTATTTAAAATAATTATGTTCTATCAGAGCCTTTCCCACTAAGTTAGTGCAGTCAAACAACCTGCCCGTTCATAACTCTTATATTTCACGTAAGATGTTGCCAATTCGTCACGCAATTACGTGACGTAGATGGCTGTCGCCACCTGTAGAAATTTTATTTCTTTCATATACCCCCTTTGGAGGATACACAGACTGTTAATTACCTATGACTTACGCTTGTATAGCAGTTACGATATCAGTGGCAACCATGCCAACTTACAATCAATGTACGACACGCTTTTATTGCCTGGATGGGAAATGGTTTTCTCATTGACGATTACACTCGCTGGCGTAACTAAATCAAATAGGTGACGTCTTTACCTGAAGCTTTTAGCTTCGACCAATCGTCCGCTAGAACTCGAAACTGGAACATGGAAGTAGCGTACCACCTTACGCTTATGTTTATTCAGGACACCAGCGCTTAGCTGGCCGTACCAGCTGTTTTTTTTATAGTTCACTATTCGGCTTAGTTTGAATGAATGCGCCTTTACAAGCCAAATATTAAATTATTTTTGTTCCTAGTTGAACGATGTACGTAATCACAACATACAATTATAAACTCCATCGCGCCAAGTGGCAATTTTCACTTAGCTTTAGAGAAAAAAAAAAAACTTCCTGTACTCTCTAACTCTTACCTGTGCCACATCTTACACCGCACAAGGTTTCTTCTTTTCCCCCGCTATTTCACTATACACGTATCGCTTGCCAAACTCCACTATGATAGTTGTGACGAAAGAAAAACACGGCTGGTTTTGAAGGATGACGGAACAAACAATCCTGTAGCAATAGCCGCCGCTCCTGCATGAAACATACATTTAGATTGGTCGAGTAACTCCTGATAATAGTGTAAAATTTTAGAAGCTGTCCACTCTATCGTGCCATTGAAAAAGAACACAATGAAGGTTCATAAACCCGTTTATTATTATTTTTATGCCTTACGTTTGGCGTCCTTAGCCAACTTCGACGCTGTCGAAAACAGGAACCAATGCGTGACAATTCGGAAGGTCTACTGACAACGTTAGTTCGCGTCCTATCTATTGGCTAGGCTGGTTCCAATACTAAGTATTGTATATTATCTACAAAAGCAAGTCGATGAGTGGAAATGTTGTTTTGAATTTTCTCTACATACATACATACAGGCCGTACAGGGCATACAACCGTATATGCTTAGTATTAGCGTGACGGGAATGAAAATCCTCCTAGGCTGCCAGGCGACTGATCTAGTTCGTACTTAGTATGTTAAAAATACTAAAATTGACTTTGTATTGAAAAGTCTTTTTCAACAGAGGACATTAACCCTATAAGCATACCGTATTAAAGATGGCCCACTAACAGTTCCCTAACTTTAAGAGATACCTTGGAGGATAGAGATCTTTCTAAACTTTAAAAAGGAGTCGGCTTTTTCCCGCTGTATTTTCGATGAAATTCTTCTCAGTTCGGTTCATTTTTGTTCATATGAGCGATACCTGGAACTTCGGAAGCCGAAGTGCGGACAACATAACTTTGTTATGTATCAAATGAACCTGGGTCAATTTTATGAGGTTTATATTTCAGAAGTAGCACATCATGCTATAATAGTATCGATCGCTAAATTATTACAAACCTCAAATGATAACCAACATCGTTACAAACATACGAAACATTTAATCTAACTTCAAAAAGCTGATTGCCTGTTTGTTCCAGCGAGAATTATGTTATCACCGCGAAGTTCCACATGAGGTATCGTCGGCCCGGTAGGTTTCGCTAGGACGTTCATAGTCCTACACAGGTATCTTTGAAATTTTGCTCTTGTCCATTCTCTTAATCTGTAGTTTCTTTGTTTCGCAAAGAGTACAACTGTTTATCACACCGTACGAACACTCATCCAGTGTATAAACACAATGGAATGTAATGATGGGTTTCGTTACACCTCTCAATCACGACTGCTTTATAAATATCCCCCTGCTAGCATAAGCAGTGTACTTACTACGTAAATGTATTTGTCTATATTCTGTAACTACCAGCAATGGAAGACAATAGGTATCATATTATCATCATTATTATTAGGAATAACAGAAATTCCCTATGTGCGTCGCGTTACTTGATACATATCTTCTTGGCCAGAGTCCGATCTACGAAACCGATTCAGGGATGAAAGACAGATGCATCAATGAGGTGCCATAGCTGATGCAAGGATAACTGTTATTCAAGCGAGCTCAAAGTAGGTCTATTGTGCGTTTTCCCCGCACCTTCGGAGCGGATTTTCGGAAATCGTGATTTCGCACAGCCTCTTTATCGATCTACCTCTGTTTTAATTGATTTACTGTCGCAAACAAGAGCATTTCAACTGTTCAGGTAATTTCCCCACCTAAGCTGCAGTGATATCAGTCAAATGCATTTATCTAGTAAGTACCCATGTTTTGGGATTCAAAGAATATCAATCGGCTTTGAGTTGTACCTGCTCAGCGGACAGGCATATGTAATGCGAGTAAAAACCAAATGGTCAAATAGTTCGACAAGATATGCTTCGTTATGACGCTTAAACTAGCTATCGTGGATTATTTAGTATTTTTTAAACATACTTTATTTAGTGTACTTTTATACATATTTTATTTAGTATCCTTCTATTTTTACACATGCTCATATTATGTTCGATCAAAAGTTATTCGGGGTACCCCCGAAAATAAGTTTGCTATTATCATCTTTGGCAGCGCAATTTTATTATGTCAGTACATAAGCCATAAATTTAGAAAAAAGATGACCTTCTCTCAAATATTAAATCCATACAAATATTTGACTAACGACGCAAATTTACAGCTTTCTTTTTTTATTACGATCACACATTTGCTATTTGTCTATGTAATAATCTATACAAATACACCTGTAATAACTTGTATATCGGCACCTCTGGCCAGTCGTGATGAACCCATAATCTGGATACCAGGTTCGATGAGCGCTAGAATAGTTCTGTCTTAAATTTTAATTCACGTAAAATTTTGTCTATGGTTACGAGTCTAATAAAATGAATCATACCGATCGCCGCTGTCAGTGGACGATTTTTTTTATGAAGCTGCACGTAACACCTGCTAAAAATCCTGATTTGAGCTCTTCTATACAAATCCACAGGCCACCTTCTCGCTACCCATCAACAACAACATACGACACCCGGCGTATTATAAAAAGACATATGGCTAAGATGGGGTTCGAGGAAAGCAAAAACAAATTATTGCCATCTGCAGCGATGCCCATATTAACGAAAACGACCGTCGTGACGATTCTAATACTATTATTATCGGTAAGGTTTATAGTAGTAAGCACTAATGGTATTATTGTTATCGTTGTTGTCATCGATGACGATGACGAAGTATAGATTCGGCATTTTTCTTTTTCTGCTCGTTCATTCACCGACTCATTCATTGAAAACCTGACATTTGTTGCCTTATGCCACTATTGCCTTGACTGTCACTTCTGTGCTGTGCATGGCCGCGAAGCTAAGACGCCTAACTAAATCGACGACAGCTCCCCATCAAGAAGTTCAAGTGCAACCCCTGCTCGGCCGAGCCACCCCCGGTTACGCTGCGGCAGCTGCTAGCAGAAAATACGATGGATCCTCCCTGCCACCGACATGTCCGCCACTGGGTTGAAACTGAAGAGCTTGATTCGACTTCGACTCGTGCCGCAGCTGATTCTTATGTACAAACATACATACATGTCATAGTGGGGGTATTGGTTTAGTTCTCGCTGATGACGGCGCTGCTAATTCTTCTCTGACCGCTACAGCCGCTGCGACTGCTCCCGCTGCCACCGCCGCATTATCTTCTGTGTGTTTTGCGGCTCAGTTTACCCGATGTTGTTGCCGTCACCTCAGCAGAAGTCACTGAAGCCAGCGCCGAGTGTGAGGAAGGTGGGTACCTGACAGGCTGCTGGTGACGGTGCCTGCACGCATGTGTTACCTGGCGTCGACCACGGCGATGGCAGCTATGAGAAACGAACAGATTTTTCCGTATGCTGTAAACGGTGGCGGCAGTAGCGGCGCTGGCTGTATTACCGGCAGATGCGACAGCAGAACGAGTAACGGATACTTACGACGAAACCTCCCTGCAGCTATGTAGCGTCTATATCGTCACTACAGTCTGTCGGCATACTTCGTCCACCTCCTGGCAGCGGCGGCAACAGCAGCAGCAGCAGCAGTGATGGTGGAGCAGTGCCCTCTCCGGGGTATATAGGATCCATTAACTGGCCAGTGGCGCGCAGAAGATGATCGAAAGGCCTACGAAGAAGTGCAGCTAGTGTCAAAAGTGCTGGAGAAACAGGCGCTGGGCGGTGCTAACCAGACTGGTATTAAAGATTGCGCGGGGTGAAAAGCAACTACGGGACGTACGAACACAGAGGTACGGAAAGGAACGAAAAGAAGAGTCGACGCTTACGCAAACCTGAAAGAGGCGACAGGTTAAAGGTGAATTTCCAGGAGCGGTGCCTCAGTCAGAAACCTGAGTTTGTGTTTCAGTGGGTGATGGTGGTACTTTGCTTAGAAGCATAGAAAGTGACTGGACCTAAGACAGCGAGAACCTACTAACGGAGAACAGTGAATACGGCAACTGACAGCATGCGAATTCTACAGGAAGCCGTCGTTTTAGCCGGTAGGACAAATCTTCGTAAGGATTATAACGGGCGTATGGCCTGAGTTTATTTATTTAAGCCGTACTGTATTGGTAATGCTGCAATTATTCCTGATGTCTAGCAAGGTAAAAAGTTTCTGCCTATTATGTATGAGAATGTCCACAGTTGGCACTCAGTAGCAGTTATTAGGCATGTCTTCGTTGTTGGTTGAAGCAGCTTGCGATTATTTGAATGATATCTTCGGACGCACACATGCGTATAGAAGCTACTGACTCTATGTGCTTGATCTTATTTCGAGCTGTCCAATCTGTATCTAGGTATACACTGTTTCTAGTTTTCGACACACCTGTGATCTCTCGCTTAGACTCTCCAAAATAATCCTCTCTCAATAGTTACACCCATCGACAAACCATGTTTTCTAGTGCTATAGGAATGCATAATATTAAATCCTTAAAATGAACTACCGTATGGTTATTTTTGAGCTTGAAACTGTAAAGTTATTATATTAGTGCCATTACCATATCAAAAATTTGACATAGGACCGTCGTCGCATGTACCATGTCTGCTAGCCTTCCCACCGCTGCACGTAACAAAATACGTTACATAGTAAAGTGTTAAACGTTTGGTTGTTTAAGATTATGTTAATGGTAAAAGATTAGACATAAACGTATCTTTATGCCTATGCTTATGATTTTTATTGTATTTTTTTTTCGTGTTTGTATTTGCATAGGCTCTTTCTAGCATATGGACCTTTTTTTTGTTTGCTACCATTCGGTAACATCACTAAGATTTAAGCTTCCTTTATTCTATCGAATATGAACATGCAGCGTTGGTATTTACCACAGATATATTGCCCAGTAAAGGAAAGGTGCACAAAAATAGCTGTCATTGAATTGTATGGAGACAAATCGCACAGATACCGGTGGAAATGCTCTGGCGCGACCGTGGGATACTGTATCTTTATTAAATGACTGAAATAAGAATCAGCCATTTGAAAATCCCGATGCTAAATTACAACGCGTCCTTATCGCTCGAATGACGTCAACAATCTATAAAAGCTACCAACAATTCAAGCAGAGTGAATAATTCGAGTAACACGGCTTGATTGAAAATGGCTTCATTAATTTATGTTGCCCCCCCAACAGGACCATGAGTTAAGTTCATAAATAAAACTTCTAAGGTCCATGATGGTGTGCTAATCGCAATGCCCTCGTTCAAGCAGATGAAATTGTGCCAATGTTGGCCATAGCCAGATTCATTGAATTCGGCAAATTCAAAAATTAGCTTGACTTATTAAGTTATCGGTAGTTTCCTTATTATTTACGGAACTGGTTTACTGCGTCTGCAAACCTTAGCCATGGGGCTGTGGCTGTCGGTCATCTTTAGCCCGTTAAACATATATCGGCCTCTAGATGCATCCCAAGTCCTATGTTCATTGTTCTTTTTTCCATTATCTGCACGGTAAATTGTCCATTTCTCATATCAGCAACACAGTTACTGTTAGTGTCTTTCGTTTTCGCTCCACATTTTAGCTAATAAATATGCTACACTTCCTTGGTCAGTTTTTTTTTTTTGACAAATTCATTCGCCCGTTTGTCATTTCTGAACGTGCCCACTCCGGTATTGCTGTATACCTCAAACTAGTTCGAACCATCCTACATTTGGCCTGGAGGATCTAGGCAATAAATCGCAAGTGATGCCAAGGATCACGTTGGCCTTCTTCGCTTGATAAAATTCGACAAATGCGAAAATCGGTTCATTATATCAGGCTGTCTTTCAATAGTCGTCTTTAATTGCCAAGCCAAAAGCATGGTTCTATTTCTCCCAAATGCCATAACACTTACCAACTAGGGATACGGGACATACGTCAAAGTGGCTTTGTAGCCTAACAAAGATTGTTGTTTGTTTGGGCTCCTTTGCAAGCTAAGACGCCGCTGGGGCATATATGGTAATCTATTAGCGAATATCATAAGTATTGGCAGGAAGATTATTTTAAGCCCTTGTTTTCATTTAATATCTATTCCCAAGGTGACTTCAGCCGAAGGGGAAGCAAACCCCTGTACCCCAATATTTATTGCGCCATATTAACAAGCACTGACTCTAAAGCATTTTTCATTATTTCACTTGTCTAAACAACTTAGAGTTTTAATTTCAGACGACTAATTTTCACAGTTCCGACCGATTGAGTACAAAAATTAATAAGATATAGCGACAATGTTTTTGAAAGGTGTGCTCATCAAAAATACTGTTGGCCCAAAAATTGAATCACTATTGATTGTTCTTCCATATTAGCCGATATTCAGTTCAAGGTGTCTTCTTCGATGAACGAAGAACCGCTTTTTGTAGGAACTAAAACTTGTATGCAACACGACCGAATGTGGGTACAGAGTGATCACATTGACGCCGGTCAAACCCAATCGCGTCGCGAAGCGATTATACGGACTCAGTTTGTATTACTTCATATTATCAACATAAACGTTTTCATACTGCTTACAATCGATCGGTAACTGTTCAAGCCAGAAAATCGGCTAAGTGATCAATCAATCAAATGAAAACATCCAAACGTTTCTAGCGCTGCTTTTTTTTATTTTTTTTCTTTGTCTAGTGTAATTCATCACCAAAAGGCCACACTGACACATTGTACATGCCCCAAATTCTCAATGGACTCGATGCGCTGCCCGGGGTCGAACAGCTATCCTCCTATCAAAACAAAGATACGCTACACTGATATCTATTCGTGGGTCGTGCTAATGTGCGTATGGATGCGCCTCTGTATTTGTATGGTCGTACACGAACCTGTATTCTATAAAGAACATTCGTCCGCGCATCAGGTATTGCTCCTATACCTTCAGGGTGAGATGTTCCCCGTATGACAATCAATTTGCAAAATGACTATTAATTCGTTCTGATATTACGATGTTCTAGTAGATGTGGTAGCTCGTTGTCGCTGCTAATGTTATGGCTGTTGTTATTGTCATTGCGCCAGTAGGGGGCCGCCCCAGCAAACAACCCCACCGCTGTAATAATGTGCCCAACTGGACATCTGTGATCGGCGACAAGCCGATCGCTTGCGGGTAGCATCGTAGCTCTGGCTAGGTGGTGGTCTATTTTCTTCGTTTGCAAGGTGCGATTCATCTTTCAACCCTAGATGATTATTTATCCGAACCCGACATAATCAATTGTAAAGCCGTTACGGTTAATATACGTATATAGATATACAGTACACTTAGTAGTATCCGGGCAACTAGCGATGATAGCGACCTGCTTTGCGACCGATCGGGCAACAATGAGCTGTCGTCGATAAAGAAAAATAACTCTGGGTGGCGTTCTTGGCTAAGACCAACCAATCGACGCGATATGTGAAGCAGACAAGCCGATAGAGTAATGATATTCACCGTGTGTTTAGTTATATATGCGTCAACGTATATATATAGTACCGGGCATCTGGTCGGGAGCAGTGTCAAAATGACACGAGTGATTGTTTGTTTCATTCAACTTTTCACTGCCTCTTCACATACATCGAGCCCTATTTCTAAACTAGTGGGACAATATTTTGGCTCAGTTTGCACCGCTAGTGGATTGTCGTAGCACATGTTGCTTTCTAACCACCGCCGTAAAAGACGTATTACAAATACGTCATGTCGTAATACGTTTTCTCTTCCTTTGACATCGCCTCGCTTGGAGATCAGTCGCTCGATTTCGATATTTGTTTCGTGGAAGGATAGATCATCCTGCAAAAATCACATGTCTTACAAACCTTTTTCAACGGTATGGGTACAGGAAAAGCTAACATAATACCGAAGCGGTAGCGAAGTTCCGTCAAGAATGTGTTAGTGGTGGATCCGCCTTATATGCTGTACTGTCGGTTGGTTTTCTGGGTTATAAACCCGTTTTATGTATAGCCCCGGGGATCCTCGCTCCACAATAATCTACGGACAGTGCCACAACCTAAGCAAGTTATTTGTGTCAGATGTACGCTAAAAACAACTAAGTTAAGCGAGTAACTATTTTTGTTGTGTCTATCTTCTTATCCTAAAAAATACAAAGTTAATAATGAGGAAAAATGTGTGCAGATCTATTCATTTGTTTTTGTCAGCATCATTTTGAAGGTGCCGCCGAGCAGATGGCCGTCCTTGTACCATAGTTGGACAACTACTGTTTAAATTAACCAACCAATGAGGTATATACTTCGACCCTAGTGCGCACGATACCGGAGAGCTTTCTTATATTTTACCACAATCGCTTTACCAGAGATATCAGCCGGATCAGGTAGGCGTAAAGGCGTGGATTGCATTTTGACTACCAGGACGATAAATTGGTAATTAGCCATCTGCTAATTTTAAACTGGGGACTACCAGAAAAATGCCCTAGGTACACCGCATTCACCGAGGCAACATCAGGCTTATATCCCTTAGAATAATCATTTACGTGTCTTTTGGCGGGGCCAATTTCGACATTTTTCGTTAGACATCACTTTAGAAAAACTTACAAAATGTGCAGCGTGTGCGCAAATTGTTCAGGTACCAACTTTGGATTTCATCCTTGCCGTGACCTTACCAGTGATGACTGCTTGCTTAGCTGGGCTTTTGGCGCCTGAAACCAGCTTTCTGTGCAGTATTACCAATCGGCTTTGAAATGAAAAATTAATGGCTTTTTATAAAGCCTTCGAAATAGCTTCCGATAATTCATTCAAGCTCGATAGAATTAAATTCAACTTCATTCTCTTACCTCGGTTCTAGATCGTCGCTCTGAAACACGCCCACGTTGAACTGGCTGTTGTGTGCTTATTTGTTGACGTACATTACAAAAGATGGCTTTGTTTAGCTAAAATGACTAAGTTAATAGAGAACTTAATCATTTCAAGTTTAGTGTATCGCGCTTCATTCACAAAAAACTAGGCAACGTATTCTTCTTTATTGGTTCTTATTAAGTAAAGTCCGAGCTGGAAACAGCAAGTATCGTGTCAACTTGATTACCTTATTTTGGCATACTTGTGTAAATATCGGTTACCGTAATAGCT